TTTCTTTTTCTTCTTCTTCTTCTTCTTTTTCTTCTTCTTCTTCTTCTTCTTCTTCTTCTTCTTTTTCTTTTTCTTTTTTCTTCTTCTTATCTTTCTTTTTGTTTTTGTTTGGTTAGAAATATGCTGGGCCCATACATCACCAGATCTTCAAACCTGGATCAAAATGAATGCTGCTCTTTCAGAGTTGACATTGTATGGTCTGGTGAAGGAGGCACTGTTTTATAATTTATTAAGAAAGAAATTTAAAAAAAAAAAAAAAAAAGATGGGTTGACTGTGCTTTTACTGTCACTTTGTGGTCTGAGGCAGTGAGAGGCAGTGAATTGTACCAGGAGGAGCAGACAAGCAGATTGTGACACAAACAATTTCAATCTGCCTTCTGCTTCCTCCTTGGTGGCACTTGGTCTGTGCCAGGCATCCTGTGCATCATTTAGTACGCTAGCCATCCACGACTCACAGCACCGCAGGCTGTACAGCTGGAACAGAGCTTTCCTTACCTACCTGCCTGGAGAGTAAGGAGGAATCAGGAGATTCACAGAATATCTTTTCCTGCTGCCCAGGGCAGAGGCTGGCTTAGGAAAAGAGCTTTCTCCCTACGTGTTCAGCTGTTGAGCTGGTGCAAGCAATTTCTTTGAGGCCTCTTTCAATTTATTAGGTTTTTGACAATTACTTGTTCATATAAATAGTGATTTTGTAAACAAATAGCATAGGTAAATTCACTAACATCATTGAAGATGTTTTAAAACTAATTTTCCACTTTTAAAATACATAGTGAAATGAAATATGCTCTTGTAGATATTTTTAGTTTGCATTGTTCTACAAAAACAATCTAGAAAATTTGAATTTTGCATTCATACCTTCATCAAAAAATAGAAGCCTGCATAATAAAAATTTCTAGTTAGTATCACTGATGTTATAGGCAGTTTTAAATAGTTAATGCTAGAAGGAATTGTTTTCTGTACAAGAAAAGAAAATAAATGTCCTGGTTTGTTTTTTTTTTTTCCTGTAGGTCATGGAAATACACAGAGGGTAAGTACTATCCAGCAACATAAACTTATCCTTTTTTAGCAAAAACTTACAAGTTTAGTGAAACTTCTTCAACACCTTAGACAATTACTTGAAGATTCAATCCAGTGTATCCACAGTAAGTTGTAGAAGCAATTATTTGTTGTGAAGGATAGAAATAAAATCAGAGAAGCAGAGTAAATTGGAACAAATTATCAAAGCCGGCTAGACACCAAAAATGTATTTAAAAATAAAATGGAAAATTACATCTTATATTACCACTGCCATCTCATTTCATTGGAATTTTCCAGAAATAATAGAAATAATGGCCCTGTTCCATTCTGGTTATAGAATATTTCAGTTAATATGTCAGTTAATCACAGATTTTTATCAATAGGTTTAAGCACCTGGCTATATAAGGACCCTAATCTGAATCCCATTTAGACCCTTAGCATTCCTGTTTAAATAGGGCTAACCCAGACATAATGGCACTGAATCATGGCAGTGCAATCATCAGCAATGATAGAGTTTACAGGACACACTCTGTAATTAAAACATCCATTTTGGATTAAGCAATGTGCTTAGGTGATTCTAACAATCCAAGACTTCATGATGAGCTATGATATTGTAAAAAAAAATAGCAGAAATAAAAGAACAGTGCATTTGAATAATGCAGTAACTTGTTTTGGGAAGAATAAAGGTTATTTGCATTTTGCTATAAAAGTTTTTTATATAGATTGTATGAAGCGCTTATATAGCAGAATAAGTTTCTTCATGTCTTTCCAATTGTACTTAGACCATTGAAAACGGATTATTTTTTATAGGGTCAAGAAAGTGATGGAGAGATGTATGAAGATATTAATGATATCAGGTAGTAATTCTGAACTCTATAACCTATTTTATCTTTATTACTATCTTTTCTAATAGGTCTATTTAATCTGGCATAAAAGTGCCATTCTGCTGCAGTCCCTGCCAGGGATTACTGTCTTCATTCATTTCACCTGGAGAAAGTTTGGCTGTTAGTCAGAGTCTTTCCCAGTTAGACCTGCCATGCCCCGGCTTTGAAAACTCCTGCAATTAAATAATGTAGTAACTGTGATTGAGGTAACAGAATTCTGATTTCAGATCTACAGAGTATGTCTGAACCACTCGTTTGAATTACAGCCTAGGAGGAAAAATAAGCTCAGCCCCAAGGTATTATGGTCCCAGGTAGATCTTTTGTTGTGGTTTTTATTTATTGCTTTTCAAATAAATGTTCTTAGAACTCTTATGAGAGGCTGGATTGACAATTTTCAGCACCTGAGTCAACTAGTACAGCTACAGAGACAGAATACAAGCTCTAATTTTTTTTCTTCCATTTAGACCTTTCCTTTGATGACTCTCACTGCCCCAGTAATGTCTAAATCTATGGGATTTACTGTATTACAATAGCCAAAGAAAAACTCTAAATCCCTCTGAATAAGTAGTTGATGTAGAATATTTCAGATGTACAACAATTTTCAGCAAAAATTTATTGTAGTAAGGGGCTGCTTACTCTATCTGTTGCAGCTACATTATGGTTTAGAATCTGTAGCTTCGATTTCACTTGAAGAAGTCTTTTTTTATCACCAACAATTTTTTGTTAGCTTTGGGTATGGTAGCTCTAAGGAAGATTTTCTTCACACATTCTATCCTGGCAATGCACTTTCAGATCATCAAGGGGAAAAGAGAAGAAGCAGGACAAAGAAGATAAGCGAAGAATGGATCAAGAGAAGAAAGAACAAAAGGAAAAAGAAAAGAAAGAGCATGAACTGAGGAAAAAGTTCAAAGTAAGCTTTTTATTTGGTAATGTGGATATCAGTATGCAAGTAGCATTATTTAGCATTGTTGAGTTCCAAACACACTTTTCACCTGGCTATGAAACTATTTGTTCATAGGTAGGTAGTAGTTCATAGTAGGTAGTTCAAACACCTGCATAAATTCTGAATAAGGGTTTAAGCTACCTTTCTTTTGTTTGGCATATGTTTGGATGCAAGCTCTGCATTGATGGATGGTGAAGACTGTGTTTACAGTTTTCATTAAATTACCTTCTCACCTTTTTTCTATGTAAGAAAGCTTTAAAATCATCCATTTTCACTTTTCAGTTTCTAATCATTAACTTCATTAGAATAGCATCAAAAGCCCTTAATAAAATTGGGAACTATATCCCGTACACATAGTGTTATTTGCTTCACTGCAGTCAGAGACAAAAGTATTTAGCCGTTTAAAAATTTCAAAATTGTATTGCAACACATTCCCCTTGCCTTGGTAGAAAGGGACTTACAGTAAATTCCAGGCTAAATGAGTAGGAGGAAAATAAGACTTGTATAGGAGAGCAACAGTCATTCTCTGGGGCTAAATGATGAGACAATTTTTTCCTGGTTTAAATAATTTTTGCATAGCTGGTGGTCAGCATGCTCTCACAGCTTACAAGTCTGCCAGTCAGTTTTTCTTAACTAATACCCACCCACAGTTCTCCATTCTGCTACTTTTAGTGTCACTGTACACAGTGGACAGCTTTGTTTTTCTTCTTATATGCTCTGCACAAATAAAGCCATAGTGAGTCACATCATGACCTTGGTCTGCTGTGGAGAGCCTGACATGAGTTACGAAGCAAATATTAAAGGTACACATAATTAATAATAGTGAGTTAGCTAGTGTTTATTAGGTGCCAAGACTAGTTTTTAAATCAGTCACAAGAAGTATAGACATTAGTGTACAGAACGCTTTTAGCTTATAGACCGTGCTCCTGCAGCCATTAAGGTATTTTATTATTCTTAAACAAATATATTTTATATGGTATATTTTATTATTCTTAAACAAATATATTTTAATGCACATTTTCTTTCCCATTTACTGGCCACTTATACAGGATAGATATTCCTGATTTAGAATTGGCCAGAGCAATAGGCCTCTGAAATATATATCTTAAAGTCACAAATACAAAATCCTAAAATGGCTTCTTCATAATGTGAAGAACTCACAAAGTGAATCCTGAACATCAATAAACAGTGTGATCATCTCTTGTGAGTACTTGCAAGATCATTTACAGAATAGAATGGTAAACACAAAGCATGATGTGGCAGACCCATTAACATTAATATTAATGATATTTACTCATATGACTTGTGACAGGAGTACTGTGGCCAGCAGGATCAGGGATTGTCTGATTGTTCCCCTGTACTTGGCACTGGTGAGGCTTCACCCTTAATCCCATGGCAAGTTTTGGGCCTGTCACTCCAGTGAGGAATTGGAGTGTGTCCAGAGAAGGGCAACAGAACTGGGGAAGGGTCTGGAGCACAAGTCCTGTGAGGAGCAGCTGAGGGATCTGGGGCTGTTTGCTCTGGAGAAAAGGTGGTTCAGAGGGGACCTTCTCACTCTCTACAACTGCCTGACAGGGAGTTTTAGCCATGTGGGCATCAATCTCTTCTCCCAAGTAACAAGGGATAGGAAAAGAGGAAATGGCATCAAGTTGTTATAGGGAATATTTAATTTAAATATTAGGAAAAATTTCTTCATGGGTTGAAGAAATTTCTTCATTTCTACAAGGGTTTCAAAGGATTGGAAGAGGTACCCGGTGAAGTGATAGAATCACTCTCCGTGGAGGTATTTAGAACATCTGTAGATGTGGTGCTTAGGGCCATGGTCTAGTTGAACTTGGCAGTGTTAGATTAATGGTAGAGCTCAGTGATCTGAGAGTTCTTTTTCAACCTAAGAGATTATATGATTCTATGAGTAGTTCTGCTGGAAATAAATGGAGACACTCATTGGAATTAAATTCATAAAAGATGTCATAGGCTAGTTTGTTGATTTTAATCTTAATATTTCTGTGATTTTGCCAGTTAGTTCTTCAATTGCTATATTGCCATTCCCCTCTCTTTTAAATTCTGATTTTTAATTTAAGCTGTATAATTGGAGCAGGAGGAAGGCTTTCTGTTTATTTGCCCACACTATTTCAAATGTCAATGAAACAACCATCAATATCATTATTTTTACTTTTTTTCTGAATGCCTAGGAAAGAACTAAATTTTTCCACATCTGTGATATCTTCTGTTTCTTCTTCAGTTAACAGGACCCATTGAAGTCCTTCATCAGGCACGAGCTTGTGTTGACCACAAGGGAGGGAGGAATGAACTGACTGTCAAACAGGGGGATAAGATTGAAATCATTCGCCTCACAGATAACCCAGAAGGAAAGTGGCTGGGCAGGATAAAAGGATTCTGTAAGTTCTCTTTCTTCACTGTGCTCCTGAATGTTTCACTGTATGACAGCAAATGTGAGCATTACACCAAGGACTAGCCCTAGCATATCTGAGTTACTGGCCACCAAAGTAAATAATTACCCCAAGTCACCCTTCCATCCTCAGACAGCATATGAGGCACAGTTCATAGCAGGGAGTTATTGCACAACATAATGTAACACCTATAGGCACTGGAACAAGTTAGGCACAGTATTCTGGGACCTTCACTGACATACTGAGGGTTAATTCCCCATCAGCAGCCTTCAAATAGCATCAGAACTCAGCTCCCTGAAAGTAACAGGTATCGTGTTTTTTCATCTCTTTGTATTAAACATAACATGGGTATTCTTAAAATAGAATTAGAGCCTATAAGGGCCTGTTTTAAGTGTTTTTCTTGTTCCTATTCCTATGGAAAGTTTCTAAGTGGCTTCTAAGTTTTATTTTCTTTGAAATCCAAGATGTTTCTCCTATTAAGGTGTAAGTATCATCAGTGGATCTTTGAGTATAATGAGGTTGATGATCTGGCTCCTGGGTTATAAAAGGTTGATCCATAAAATCAAACAGAATTATTAAAAGCACTTGCTTGACCTTTAGGGGAACTAAAATGCCAATAAAATTAGTAAGACAGTTCACACATGTAGAACAGAGTTCTACAAAATTGTAGATGATACCAGCTGAGCAGCTTGTAGTGATAGATATATACAGATAGTAAGGAACTGACTGTCTTTCATACAAAGAGAATCTGAGAGAGCTGAAAGGAAAATTAAGAGGTATCTTATAATTGCTCATAAATACCTGGTGAGAGGATGTAAAGAAAATGGAGCCAGGCTCTTTCCAGTTACCCAGTGACATTGCAAGAGGCAACAGGCACATACTGAAACACAAACATTCTATTCACACAGCAGAAAACACTTCTTTTACTATGATGCTGACCAAGCAAGTGAAAATGTTGGTCAAAGAGGTGAAGGAGTCTCCATCTGTGGAGATCTTCAAAACTTGACAGGACACAGTCCTAGACAACTTTCTCTAATGGAGGATCATGTTTGTTTAGAGAGATTGGCCAAAATGATCTCAAGAGGCAAATTCCAATAACAGCTTTTCCACAATGACTTGAAGTTGTGAAAAAAAGTCAGTTACATGAATCATTTTGTACACAGTAAATCAAACCTTGGTGAGGGCTGGGAGAAAGTTATTTTCTAATGCATGTGCAGTCCATTCATTAATTTACTTTTCATTAATTAATTCTTGCAGCAGCAAAACTTGAAGCTGTACAAAGCTTCTCATTGAAAAGTTTCAATAATACAGATCAATTTTTTACACCAATGCTTCAGCCTTCCATGTTCACAGGCCAGGTCTGTGAAGACCAAAAAAAAAAAAAAGAAAATTAATTCTTATCATTTAACTAAGATGAAAGATCAATGTCTTATATTTGAGAGGAAATGCACTAAAAACTGCATTCACTCAGAAGACGGAGACTGGTGAATTTTCCATTTTCAAAAAAATGCATGATTATTTTTCACTTTGCAGAAATACACTTTTGCACTCTTCTGTACAGGCACTATGCCTGTTAAAAATTACCCTCAGGAGAGACAGAGATCCTCATCTGAGTCAACTGCTCTGGTCAATGTAGCTACAGTGTGTCTGCCAACCTGAAGAAAAATCAATGCGCATGATTATCTGAATGACCTGTCAGGATGTTTATATCATGGACTGCCCTAAAATATGCCACAAGACTGCAGAGGTGTTACAAATTGATGTGGAATTTAGATAAGTCCTTGTCTTTTGACAAGCCTCTGGCAGCAGGTAGTAGCATTATTGAGGTGACCTCCACCCCAAAACCCACTGTCTTTCACAAGTTCTTTGAAAATGGTTGATTTGGTCTGTTATAGAATGGATCATTTATTTAATAGACACAAAACTAACAGACGTAAGACTTAAAACAAACTATTACACAGAAATAAAGACAAAAAGAGACTACTAGTAGGTAAATACAGCATGAGGTTAAAGGAGCCTATTATTAATGATACAGCTAGTGAAGAAATAATATAACTTTGGATTCAATGTATTTTACCATCCCATTGTTGGTGGAGCACACATCAAGATCCTTTCCCACCATCCTTAGGGAAGTAACCATGTGCCCAGACTCCAGGGAGAGGTCTTCCACACTTTAAGGGTGTGTGTGTGTGTGTGTGTGTGTGTGTGTAGAAGACTTCTGCGTCTCTGATAACTCATGTGTCTTGTAGTTTTTAAAACAGGGTCTCTTGGTCAAGAATATTTCCTTTATCTCTTCCCACATCAAAATCTTCAGACTAAAATGTTGATTCCTAGCTGAGGCCTGGGCCTTTTTGGTGCCAGATGCCTCTTTGCTGAGCCTTTCAGGACAGGTTATCTCTTTATGTACCAACTCTCTGTGTTAGACTGGAGGGGAGGTAAGGGTAGTTATCCTGCCACAAGTGATCCCAAAGCCAGCTGAGAAAAGGAGTCTGTCCCATGATTCCTACACAGAAAATTCTTCTGCTGTAGTTGTGAAGCAAATAAATATGGACTAAACATCAGCTGAGGAGGGTTTACAGGGGGATCTGAGATAGATCTGATATTTGTATTTATGTTGATAGATGAGGCTGCTTGGAATGAGACATTTCCTTGAAAGTTTTCAGAAATCATACAAAATAATATAGTCACTGATTCTGAACCTCTTGTTAAAGTCATCCCTATATCATGATCCTCAAACTGCATGGTTTCATTTATTTAGATGGATACATTAAAACAACCATGGTGGAGATTGATTATGATTCTTTAAAAAGAAAGCAAAAACCATCTACCAGAGCTGCTGTGAAACATGCAGAGAGTGACCAAGAAATGTATGATGATGTTGGAGAGCAGGACAGTACTGGCAGGTATGTATAAGGAATGCATGAAAAAAAACAAGTGATTCACCTGGGTCAGCTAGACAGGGAAAGTTTTCCAACAACAAACCCACAAAAATGTCACAAAACAGCCATTTATATAAGAGACGTGCAAGTATTATAAGTAGCTATTCAGACTGAATAGCTCCTATTTGGTCAGAGGAGTTTAAATGAATTCTTTGATCTAGCATCTGTAAGCACTCATACTTAAGAGGAACCCATACTATTGGAAGAGGACCTACTTCACTGAAATCCAAAGAAGAAAAAAGTGCAAGCCATACAAGATTACAAATCATCTGCAGGAATTCCAGTTCTCTTCCCTCTCTCTCTCTTTACTTGCTCTGTCTTTTGGAGTCACATACTACCTTTTTTAAGATGCAAGATAAAAATTCTAAAAGCAATGGAAACACTCACTGCACCAGGGAACTCCTGATCACCCTCATTGCTCTCATGAGCCTTAGCATGAATATTTAAGTCTTACTACCCCTTTCATTTTGATGAGAAATGACTTCTGAACTCTTGTCTAGGGTAACACTTCAGAAAAGAGTGCAGCTTATGAATTTAACCCTGAAAACAAAGCCTCTCAAATTCCATGAGATGGGTATAAGCTATATCTTTCTAATTCATCAGAAGCTTCTTCTCTATGGCACAGTCTCCGTGCATTGCAGTGCAATGCTATATTGCAGATTCTCTACTTCCATTTGTCATCTTTTTCATGTCAAATAGATCTGCAGCTAAAGAAGTGGCATATCCAGCAGCAGATCAGACTTGCTGGCCAAGAAATACCGTAGTGGTCTTGTCACAAGAGTCATGGCTATCCCATAGCCTAGCATGACAGTGGTAATTATGTTGCCAGACCTTTCAGGAAATTTTGCTGCTTACATGTAATTCAACAATCCATTCTTCATTAAATATCCTGATGTGCAGAAACAGAGCCTGGGATTCAGATTAGAGATCTGCATATGAGTATAAAGGATTTCAATATGCAGGACAACCATTTTGAAGCACTCGGCTATTACATCTGCTTTTACTGCTTCCCATGAGGCTCCTCAGCTTAGAGGCCTGCTTGGAATAAAAAGACAGCAGCAGCTGTCCGGCTGATAGAACATCCCTATGAGCTCCAACAGCAGCATGTGCCTTTAGGCTGGCATTTTTCGTGCAACCAGTATAGCTTTGTGTGGGATATTTTTTCAGGTTGCTCAGTATCAGTTTTCCTCCCTGCACATTGGTCTCAAAGCATTGTGACCTAGCCATGAGAGCCGTGTTAGTTGTTCTAGGTCTCAGGTAATCTCACCATTAGTTACTTCATTGCAGAGGTATCCTTGGCCAATCCTTTTCAGTAGGGCAAGTGTTGCAATCAGTCACCACAATGCAAAAAATTTAGAAAATGTATTGCATTCAAATGAAAACAATTGCACTGTTTGCTTACTAAAATAACAGTATATTCCAAGGAGCTTCAAAGATTAATGATTGGCTTAGATTCATTAAATCCTTTAAGCTGTATTTTGACATTTTTTTCTTCTCTAGTGATTAATAGCACTCTGTTCAGTTCATGAGCATGAAGTGTCGGAAGGTTTGACATATATCAATATGTTTTGAAACCACTGGAAGAATGCCATTCCAAAAAAAAAGTTCTTAGTCAAATAGTATTATCTCATTATCAGTAGTATTGCTAATATTCCAAAATTAATAAATGACTAGGAGTGTTGTATTTTAGTATTCATTGGACCAAGAGTTTAACAAGTACCTTGTTTTGATGTATAATTTTAGGCAAGGCTTTGACCTGGAAATAATCTCAGCTACTATGAACCTCTCAGGCTTTTTTCAACTACTGCTAGAATGTAGGCTAATATGGAATCCTTCTATGTTGTTAGAAACATACACTTATACCCAGTGAAAGCTAGCTGAGCAATAAATTAACTTATTTACCATTTAATTTCAAGAATATTACCTCATAAGGAATGAATCTAAAGGGTCTGGATCTACTGTGTAGTGCTCAGTCAGATTATATTTGTATTCCCATCAGGTCTGACTATATGATCTCCTGAGATCCCCTCCAACACAAATTATCTTATGGTTCAAAGGCACATTTCTTACTTCAATTTAAGAATATCAACAGAAATATAAAATACATTCTAAATATTTTTGCCAGGGCCAAAATCTTTAGAATTAATATTTGAAGAAGTGATGAGTGATCATGGTGTTTTCTTTTTCTGAAGGATGACTGCTTTTCTTTAAAATGTCTTTTGTTTGCTTTTCCAGTCAAAGTGGTGACCAAGGTGGAGGTGGAAGTAAGTTCTACTTACATGTTGGGGGGGGGGGGGGGAGGGCGGTTCTGTGTATTTCTTACCCTCACGATCTGACTTCTGACAAGCTGACTTCTGCAGCTTCAACATAATGCATTAATTATCCATAATCAAGTTAAATGTTAGCTAATAGGCAACAAACAAGGAGGGGTAGTGGCCAACTAAACTTCTCTGCCACCTATAGGAACTTGAGTGAGACAGAATGTTTGTCTCCAGATACTGTGAATTACCAGCTTTCCAAACTTTTTACTTGTGTGTGAAGGCAAATCATCCCACAAAACAGTACAGATGTAGCTGGAGAAATAATAACATGAGCAAGAGGTTTTGTAACGGAGAAATCCAGTTCTGAAATAGCCAGCACTACTATAAATTAAAGCTTCATTTTGCTGACAGAGTTAAGGGGAGCTTCAATAGCAGCAGCACACTGGAGGCCCAACTGCAAGAGCTTCATGTTGTCAAGCTGACACATTGAAACACAGTTTTCCCTTTGTTAGCACATATATTTATGCAGCATTCTTTGTTAATCACAAGAGCACAGCTCATCTTCTCAGCTTCAAGTTTAGATACTGTTCATGGCAGAAGCATCCCCTGGCAGTACCGAATGAATCTTCTGCCAGCCAAGTATAGATTTCAGTGTCTACTGTGACCAGTGCCTAGAATTGGACATGAAAACCAAGCTAACCCTGCACTGAAGGAGGTGGGGCACAAAGGTTAAAACTGAGACCAAAATGGGGAGATTACATTGCTCTTGTCTCTGACTTCTTTGGAAGAAAACAAGATGTCAGCTGCTGAGAGTGTTAGCCTGACATGTTCAGTCATCACCTGAGTCACACATAAAAACTTAAAAGTCATCATAAGGTCTGCGCCAAAATCAGCCATTTAGAATTTCATTGCCTACACTGTAAGAGCATTTCTTTTCAGTATCCATGCTCTTGTGATTGGCAGTGCCACATTTAAATGCTGTGAGTGGCATTCTAAACCGGGATAAGTCTAAATTTCTGTTTTAATAAAGGGTCTGTGCCAGTTTACTGAAAGATTCAATTTGCAAGGATATTGCATAAATTACAAACACATCTGGTACAGTAAAGAAGCCTATAATGAATAGCTTATTCAGCAACATGAAATATAATTGCATTAACTCACTATTTGATCTGTTAAAGACATGTTCCCACCTCCTCCTTCTGATCAAGACATTTATGATGGAATTGATGATGAAGATGCTATAGCTAGGTATGTTTTTATATCTTTTAAATAATTTGCTTCTTTGAAAGAATGTTTTCAGTTTTTAGTGGTTTTGAATCAAGCATAACAATTAGTAGGTATTAGGATGATCAGCAAGTTGGTATACATCAAAATGGATATGTCAAGCTAGAGAAAATGGTTCTTCAGTCTTTTTAAGAAGTTTTGTTCTGTAATTTTGATGTCACCAAAAGCAGTCTGTAATCATGAAAATCTCCCAATTTCCAACTAGACAGAATATATCTGAAATTAAAATAGCAGACTAAAATTCTAGATTGCTGAGTAACAACATGAAAACAGTAAGCCACTAGATCAATCTCTGTACTACAAATACATCTCAGTAGCTACATGTGGCCTAACATACATATTTCTAATTTAGCATGTTAGGATTTGGGTAAGCAACTTCACTTTGGGAATTAATGATAATTATTTGCATCAATGGAGAATTTTACTGGGCCTTTTAAGAAGAACATTACATTGTACATTGTGATAATCACATGCATACTCCAAAGGTCTATATCGCAGGATGAAGATAAGAATGGTATCTGGCCCTGGGGAATCTTGAAGAGACTAAAGGTCAAAGATGACAAAAAGAAAAGTGTACGAGAAAAAACAGCCAAAGTCAATGAGGCAGAAGAAAATGAAAATTTGTTGTAAGAGTCTGCCTGGAAATCAAAGTGCACATTAACTAATTCTAATAAAGCATTGATCACATGCTACTAACATATCCTCACAGCAGCCTAAAGAATCATGCATCAAATTGCAGCTCAGGATGATACTTTTCTGCAAAAATGCAGAGCTTTCTTTTCACCTGCATAATTATTCTATTAACAAGCTGTATTTTTTTTTTGTTGCAAAAGTCTGGTAATCAAAATATGCCAAATTCTTTTTCTGGTGAAAAGCACCAGAATAATCTATAATCTTTGTGCCACTGGTCATGTAAATTTGCTGCATACTGAGTTAAAATTTACTTTTCTCACCAGTACAATGTAGCTGAGATGAACTGGTAAATCTAGGCCCATTAACCAAAATTTTAGGAATAATATGCCAAATAGAAAAATGCAAAGACTGTCTTCTATCTATCTTATCTAGAGAATAAATCAGCAGGTGGTGTTTCTGCCACATTCTTCAGTCACCTGGCTCTGAAGCAGTTTATTTTAATTGATAAAAATATATTTAGTCCCCAAGTACTGCTGGAGTTAGTGGCACTTCAAAATGTCTGGAAATTACTTGAAACCCTTGTGTTACAAGTTTTTAAAATTATTTAGGTTACAAAAAAAGGCTGTTAATGTGATATAGATACTTAATGACCTTTTTTTTCCCCCCAGCATGCCTTCTTCAACAAAGCAGTCTGGAAAAGGTAATTAATAGCCTATTGTTCAATCTCCATATTGATTCCTGATTTTTTTCTGTATACATTGCTCTGTATCGTGCTAGTTACAAAAATACATCCAAGGAAGGAAACAGACTTCCTATTGCTTACCCAGTTCCAGTAAACAACTTTAAAATATTGTGACTGATCTGACTGCAGACAAGGAGATACATATACATTGCAAGCTCCTTGGTAAACAATTTAATGTATTTAATGTGTTTTTTCTACCTGAGATTTACATTAGTCCATTTTATTTGGCATTAAGTAGAAGCATCTGGAAATAAGCACTCAGAAGTAAATAGAAATTATTTTTTCTATTTTTATCACTTGCAGTGTCTCTGTAAAAGAACATATAAGAATCATCAAAAGTTATTAGAATTTTTGAGTCTGCTTCCAGAACAGATTTCTAAACCTTCTATATCCTGCTGATTTTTCTAGCCATCAGTTTAATAAGTCAAACAATTGCTTCCCCTCTACAAACACGCTGAACATGATTGAAAATGTATCCTTGGGCTAAGAATTCTCTCAATTGCTTTGGCATTGCAAGATGGCCTAAAACCTAACATACCCATATGATAATTCATATCCACTTCTAAGAAATGTTGCATTGACCAGGGTGCTATAGAAGTTATTGAATGTGCATTAAAATCAAACTCAAAAATATACTTTAGTGCAATACACTGGGAATTTGATAAATTAAACTGAAAATTAAAGTCTATCTCATGTGCTAAAACTTGCTTTAGCTTCAGAAGATTAGAATTTCAGTGAATATCTGTTATTATTAATAAAGAATCTTAATCTGAAAAGGTTGGGTTGTGTTGCGCAGGTTGTGCAAAATAGAACCTGCAGTTACCATAGACAGTAAATGGCTACAGTACTTGCCATAGTTTCTTATCAATTTAGCTAAAAGAAAATACAATGTAACACAATATATTCACATCTCATTTTTCACATAATAATGTTTCATTCTTTTGAACACTATTGTTTCAGATTATGGAGACAATGTTTATGATGACGTAGATTCTTCAGACTTCCCTTCTCTTCCAACTGCTCCCAGGCAAGTGAAAGTATTACTTCCCTGTTTAGAAATCTAATACACAGAGAGACCTTTTTAAAGTATATACTACAGGCAGAATGTTCCTAGTATCTGCTTTATTTGGTGTTGTCAGGTTTTGTAGTTCTCATAAACCTACCTCTGATAATGGCAGTTGAATGCTCTTTCTTCCATTATAGATTGAAATAATAATTAGATTATAGAATAAGTAAGCATGTTTTGCATATCAATATATTCAGTCCATGATGGAAAAGAGATAGAAAATGATGCACTGGCTTAAAGTAACTTAATTTTAGAATGTAGTTCTTTTTCTATCAAAATTTAGGGACTGTTAGGATAGATACTTTATCTCAGCTGCTGCAGTATTTTAAGAGAAAAGAAGGAAGTGCCCATGTTTAAAGTATTCAACATATTTGGAGGTGCAAGTTCAGCTTGAAAAACTTCTATCCTGAACCAGAAAATTATGTCAATCTCTGGAGTACAGTGTTACTGGCACAGTTGCATCTGTGAGGATGACTGTGACATGTCACATCCTGTTGTCGCTTACTCCACTCAGATGGAGTGACAGTGCACTACAATAATGTAGTCTGGAGATATAAAAAGAGAGAGATCTCTTAGAGATCCTTTGGTTTGTGTATCCACAGGAAAATATGGGGTCCTTCTAAGTTAAATCCTTCTAAGTTAAATCTAGAGTGGGTCACACACACACACACACACACACACACACACACACACACACACACACTCACACACACACACACACACACACACACACTCACACACATATTCATCATCAGTAAAACTCTCATCCTGGCGAGATCAGCAAGGATCAAAAACTAGAATCAGACTTTACACTCCCAGGTGCATCATTAGAAAGTGCAGTTAGGGCATGAAACCAACAGTCTTCAGCAAGTCAGTGCTATCAGGGATGTGCAAAAAACAACAGAACTTGAAATAGATCATGTAATGCAAATTCCCTGGTGTAACAAAGTCTGCAGGCACATAAGTCTAGCACACACAAGGCTAAGATGTTCCAGCTGCTTTCCACAGTGTGATATGTCATTCTGCTTATTGCCTAGAGGTGCACAGTCTTCAAAAACTGGTTCTTACTGAGGGATTCTAAAGTGTCTTAGTAGATAGATACTTAACATTCATTTTTGATATTCACTTATGTGATAGATATAGAAATATTGGGGAGAAGTAGAAGTAGGAAAGACAGACACAACTTTTTTTATTTATTTTGAAGTCAAATCTGTATTGTATTCTCAATATTAGTTTTTCAGAGCAACAAAAGCATGATAAAGACACATGAAGGCAAATGCATTTTCACCAAAAATTATCAGAAAGTGTGCTAATACTTCTGTTCCTAATTGTGTTTTACCTGTAACCTCTTGATTTAGTTCATCAAAATCAGGAAGCTTTGGAAAACCTAAGTCAGATGAAAAAGGTGCACAAAAGCTCAAGAAGATGGAAAAAGAAGAGAAAGAGTTCAGAAAAAAGTTCAAAGTAAGTTTTTGTTCAAAGTGTTTTCATCACATAAAATATAAAAACAAAGTATCTGTATAGTGCTTTCTAATTTGTTACCCATTGCTTGCTTTTGAAAGGGAAAGGATTACTACATGTAAAAATAGTGATCTGAGCATCTCGAAGTCCAAATGGCAAGTATGGGCACATACGCATATTGTAGCATATACAAATATTTGTTAATTTCAAAAAAAAATTAGTAATAAATGGGAATATTAATGGAAAAACACTAATGGCTTTTAACCACAGTTTGGGGATTTTTTTCTCCTTTTCAGTTTGATGGTGAAATAAAAGTTCTTTACTCCACAACCACAATCCAGGATTTATCACAGAAAAGATGGGGATATAAAGACTTACAAATTAAACCAGGGGAATCTCTTGACATTATTGAAAGTACAGATGATACCAAGGTCCTCTGCAGGAACAAAGAAGGAAAATGTAAGTTATGTTAAAAAACTGTCGTACATATCAAATTGTCAGAGAAGAGTTGAGTAGGATATGTAAAATCTCTCTTCCCTGGTTTACCAAGGTTTACATTGCCTGGTGGTTAACAAGCGGCAGATTGTTGTCTTATTATGTCTATGTTTTAACACTGGTGTGCCTTAAAAAAATCCAAAACACTTCCAATGGACAAGATATACTAAGTATTAGGAAAAAAAAAAAAAAAAAACCACCATTTTTTAACTAAAGTTTTTCTTTGCAGCTAGGATCAGCAGATGTTTTTCTTGCTTCTGTGTCTCCCCCTTTGCCAAAAGGAGTGTGGCTTGTGGCTATGATAGCCCACTGAGTCTAGTAAAACTAAAATCCTTGCTGCACCTCTGGATAGCACTAGCCCATTGATTGCAGCCAAGAGAAAATCAATAACAATATTCTTGCTTTGGAAGAGATGCAGTTTAATCTTTTCAACAAGCTGGGGGGAACATTGCTTTGGAGTCTTCCCCCCAGCTCCGAGCTAATCCAATGCATATGTCCTTACTGGCATGTCTGTTTGTTCTGGGAGCTGCACAAGGCCTTTCAGTGTTTCTTTGAAATCCTTGGCCAGGGTTTGCACTGGCAGAAATCTTTGAATTTTTGGAGAAGTCCAAAACCATCTCCTGATGGTTTCAGTTTCTTAATGAGCTTCTGTTACAACACTTTCCAAATCTCCTAATGAAAATTCACTTTGTTCTGGAACAGCCTACTTTCAAAGTAGCAGCATCCTCCTGCTCACCTTTGCTTTTTACCTCTGACCTATGTAGAATACAGTCCAATGCTATAAACCTCTGAAGAGGATTCAACCACCTTCCTTTTATTTTTTTCCCTCCTGTACTCAACTGTTACAGTCTGAAGTACAGCCTTCTTCCTGGCAGGCCTGCAGGGAGAGGAAGAATTTCTTGCATAACAACACATATGTTTTTCAAAATATGGATTGCACTAGTAGAGCCACTTCCCCAAAAAAAAAAAAAACAGCTTTCAAAGCCACATTTTTTTGAATCAAGCTAATAACAAAGTATAAAGTAGTTCATGTTAGCTGTTTTCCTGTCATAGTCTTCAAAGCCTTTCAAATAATGACAGGAGCTACTGCTTTGCTATGCATGAAAGAGCAAAACAAATAAAAATATCCCCCCTGAAAACCTCTGAATAGATCCCAGTCTTTGCTAACATATTAGTTAGCAAAGTTTGAATTCTACTTATGTGCATGACAGTTTTGTTTATTTGCTCTAGTTGTTCTAGTTTCTCAGATCTTAAAGTTATGATTTTACCTTCTGAAGGCTAGGTAGACTGAAAATCCACAACTAAAGATGCTTTTGTTATTGTCTTGCACATGAATTCTTTGATTTAACCATTAACTTATGAAGCACTTCCATAGCTTCAAGCCAACAATTAAACAAAACCACAATTTATATTTCAATGTATTGTCACCTTTCTAAGCAAGGGCTGATGATCTTATGAACATATTCTGCTATGGCTGATTTTAAAGGTTATGAAATTATTTGAAATGTCAGAAGTGAAACAAGGAACTGATTTTTATCTACCATCTCAAATTCCTTCTTGGTCTGAACTCACACATTTTAAAATACACAAAAGCTTTCAATTCAGCTTTGTAGATTTTGCCTAATCAGTAGGACATAAATGGACTTCAGTGGCCCAAAGTTTAATTTTTGACCTCTCTGAGCTTTCTTTACATTGTCAAGTGAGCAGCTGGTACAATGTGTTATAGCTTTCAGTGCTTGCCAAGTAATCAACATGGAGTGTGCTGACCTGCTGGCTTCTTCCTTATTTGAAAGCACCATAAAAACAAATAATAAATTATTTAGAAACTGAAACTTTGGACATATAACTTTAGACTAGTAAATCTGAAAGAGTGTGAGACCAACAGGGGTTGTATCTCCCACATATTTAAGGTTATTAGTAATCATCAGAATAACCTAGATAATGTTTTGCAATGGTAGAAGCATTGTCATATGGACATGACTTCCAAAAACACTGTGTTTGTATGCCATAATATGAACAAGCAGAGAAGCTTAGACTAGCCAAATTATTTTAAATTATTTCCTGGAGACTTCAGAAGTCATGGAAAACATTGGACTGCCCTAAAAAGAATTTTGAAAAGACAATGTATTAAAAAAAAAAAAAATTCAAAAAAACAACTTCTGTCTTTATTCCAGAAAATAAAAACTAGGGAAAGACAACTGAGCCAAGATACCCTGAATAGACACTCCTAATGATTAAAAGAAGGAAATTTACATATTAATTTCAAATACAAAACAAGATCACAACAACATAGTTCTTTAGAACTCTCCTAATTTTGTAGCAGCTTACTAATGTTTACCTACAAACATGTAATTACTGTTATGGCTTTCCCTTTTTCTGTATTCATTATACCAATTGAAAAGTATTTCAGTAGATATCTTTCACCAAAACAGGAAAGAATTTTTTTTTTTTAAGAAATTATATACATTAAAAAAGAATATGTATCATTTTATCTGATTTCATTAGTAATGCACCAGAATAACAAAATAATATTTGGTAGCTTTTCTAAAGTATGTCCTTTATCATATTCATTATTGGTCTTATTAATCTTACAGTTAAAATTTTAAACACTTATAGGTAATAACATTTAATTGGTGTACACATCCTGAAAAATATTTTTTTTCTTGTATGAAACTCTAAATAATTCAGTTATTTAATATTACTGCAAATATTATTTTGTTATTATTATTATACTGCATTTTTGTGCTATAGTTTTTGTTAATAACTGTTGTTTCACCTCTCTTTCATGCAACCAAGAAACTGAAATACAAGATGAAAATCTAATCTTGCATAACTTCTATTACTATTTAAGTAGGCAAATAAGAATAAGCAAAACATTGCACATAACAAAATCTTCATCAACTAGGTGCCCATTGTACATTGTTTTCCGTCTATTATGTCTTTCTGTCTGAAGTATATAAAAGAGAAAAACTGCATTTCATTAGTGCTAGCAACAGAGGTGATAATGAGTATTTCAATTTAACTTAAATACATCTTATTTCACTTTTACAGATGGCTACGTTCTGAGAAGCAATTTAGTTCAGAAGTAAGTATAAAGTGATTGTTTTGAACAACTTGTTTTAACACTTAATATTCTAAATGGTTCTAGTAAAAAATGGTCTAGTAAAAAAATTAAAATATAATTATTTTAGTCTAAACTAAATTAAATTAGTCATTCTAAACTAGACAATTGAGTTATTTTTAAGGAGTTATGGTTTGTTTGTCAAAAATTAATCACATACATCCATGCAGGAAGTTTGCCAGAACTTAATTCCTCATTGCTTAACCATAAAGTCTGGTTAAACCATGAAAAATCACATAAATTAAGCATTATTGATATTAAACTCTATTACTGAACAACAGGTTAATGTGATTAGGTGTATTGATGCCTTTTTCAAATGTTTAACTAAAATGGGCCAAATTTTCTTTAGGTTTGTTTGTACTTCAGTCTTAGTGGGATAGAGATTTGACTCAGTGTTGGTCGAAGAAATTGCATGGAGCTCAGCATTTTGGTTCTAATCCAAAACTCTTATCAGAAAAAGCCTCTCCATTTTCTTCAAGAGGCTTTTCATATTAGACCCTTAAATATCAAATCAGATGTCACTTTTAGAATTGTCACATTTAGAATTTAGAAGCATTTAACACTTAGGCACATGTTTGAATTATATGTACAAATAGTTTTACTGTCATCCATGGGCCAGCCCATGTATCTTGGCCACATATTTGAAAATTCCTATTCATGGAGCATGTATCTTTTATAGACATTATATAATTTTATTACATAAAAAGTCGCACCTCCAAAACTATTATGTAATTGCTGAGTACAGAAACAAAAAGAATTTCAAGGGTATACTGATTGGGTTTTTAATTCAGTTTTTCTGGTGACTATTTTAAAAGAAGAATTAAGTATTTAATTTCTTTATAGAAATACCTTTATGAGAATATCTACATAAAAAATTAATAAATAAAATGGATTTCTAATAAAGCAACCCTTTCATGTTAGAAAGAAATGTATCCAAGTCTACCCTTCCCTGAAAATATTTTGACCTGACCATCTTCTCAACATTGTTCTGTTACCCCAAAGATTGTATTTTCCTAATTAGCAAGTTAATTATTTGATAGATTGCCTGCACCACACTGCTACTGTATTTTTAAATACACTTCTGATGTCTCAACTTCTAAATATACTATTTGTCTTTTTTAACTTACAGTGATGGAGAGATTTATGATGATATTGGTGATGGTATGTTGAACATTTGGAACAATATTTTATTTCTATTCAATTACAATAAATAATTTTATCTTTGTGTTGAAGTACTACACAATATTAATAGTTTTGCATTTTATTTCCATTTCAGATTGCATCTACGATAACGATTCTGGTGCTGAATGCTCTTGAAATAACAACTTCATTGAAGATCAAACTCTAGTTTGGACTCCCACTTGTGAAAACAAGAAGAGTCACGAATGCTGATTGCAAGTTAATTGGTGTCTCTTTGAAATGTACAATTAACCTTTTTTGGGATTTCAGCCTTTTGTCCTCCAATGCTTTGCACAAATTTGTATTCCAATTTATCTGAGCATTTAAAATTGAAGGAATATAAGCAAAAGTTAGTTAATTTTTCACTTCCTTTCCACATTTCTGACAGTCCATGTAGAAACACGTCTTTAAGTATCTATTCCCAAAGAGGCCAGTTCACATCTATTGAAGGGCCTAGAGAACAACAATCTCTGGCAACAGGTTTTCTTTGGCTTTCACCTATTAAGCACCAAAGACAGCCACTCTGGGTAGGATAGTATCCTGAAAAAAGAAATTATGATAACATTATGTTATAAAAGAAGAAATCAAAAGTGGCCATCAGAGAAGACCATACATCACTGACCTGCCATTCCAACTGCAATAGTGTTAGCTACACTGACATGTAGCTACATCCAGCCATGTTCCATTATTGCTACAGTCTATTTTTCTGTGTTGTACTAATGATAGACTATAATTCTCTAAGACTTATCTGAAGTCTAGTATAGAGTATAATGTTCTACTTTATACTGTAGTGTTGCTCAAAATATACTCAGAACTTTTAGGTTAAGATTTAATTTCCGTTTAGTTTGAAGATAAATTTTCACTATAGTAATATATGTATTATAAGCTATAAACTGATAATAAAATGTTTGGAAATTCTTCTAGACGAAATAGATAGGTATAGTTATCATGCTATTTTGATAATGCCCTTTTCTTCGAAGTATTGTAGTTTACTACTAGATTTGGCTAAAGAAAGGGTACAGAAATCAAATATTTCCATGCTTATTCATTGTAGAAATAACATTTATTCTTAACGTTCATTTTTGATGCTGTTGTCTGAATGATCAAGTTGCAAATAAAAGCAAAGTCAACATGTAATTTATAATGATAAATATCATTTTACCCTTATGTATCAAAAGTCACTGGAAATCAGAAGACATTTACAGTAAGCTCCCAATAAAGAGGGTGAGAATGTGCAAAAAATGGAACATCTGTTGCTTTTGCTGTAGTGCAGATTAATCAAAAACCTGTAGTGACCAATGTGGCTGGATCAGTGGAAGCAGCTCCTTTTGATGAATGAGTATAGTACAATCATGAGGGAAAGTCAGGTACCTTGTGCAACACAGCCTGTTTAGTTTATAAACATAAAAAATGTTGGCTCTATTAAGTCAGTGACTGTTGATCTCACCTCCAGTGATGCTGAGATTTCATTTTATAAAAGTGACTTTTATTGCTGCTTCAAAATACAGTAAATCTCAAAGGAGGCATAATGCAGTGGGGATACCAAGCATAAAATCAAGAGATAGTGGCCTATAAGCTATTTTTTACTGCATGTAAAATCTTATAGTATACTGAAAAGCTATATGCAACTTGACTTTCTATTTGCTATTTCTCTTATCTATTTGCTATTCAACCATCATCTGGGCATCAAATATCAATTTTATGTGTAATCATCAGCTGCAGCACCCAAACATAAAACATGACCATGCATATTAGGTGCAATGAATACATGTGAATATTCTACTGTCACCGCTAATGGATCATTTATTTTTCAGTGGTACTCTGTCTGCACTAAATTAGTGATACGCCAAAGAACTGAGTAGGCATGCAGGCAACTATACAACTGCATAGTTCTTCCATGTTCTTAGGGTTAATGTGTATAGACACTGCAATTCTGTATCAATAAGACTGACTAAATTGGTCATATGATACATAAAATAATGAAAATAAATAAATATATTTATGGCTAAAACTCCATGTTCATTACTTGTTCAAATCAAATATAATGGGATTGCTGCAAAGTGTTAAAATGAATTTTTAAGGCATTACTCATTGAAAAATTACTGGCATTGTATCTTTTAACTTTTACCACTGTGGGATGCTTTTTCGTATTTCTTCTGAATAAAAATATTTCTTCTGAATAAACATTTGTTTAACAAGAAATGTGGGTACACTGTCTTCTGTCAAAATAGAACAACAGCTTCTGTAAAAGCTGTAGAATAGAACAGTAGCTTCTGAAAATTATCACTGAACAGCTAACAGAGTGAAAATCTATTTTATTATTGTTGCAAAGGCTGCACAAATGCAACATGGCATTTGTTAGTAATTGCTACCCAGAAAGTGAAATGCAAGCAGAAAATCTTCCAGACAGGAAGATCTATACTTAGGCAGTCTATATTCTAAGAGTTTCTCACCTGTAATTTATTATAGTATCTTTTAAAAGCCATAAAGAAAGAAAAAGAAAGCTGTTCACTTGATATTTTTCCACCTCCAAACTCAGTCTATAATCCTGCAGTATTTGGCTGAGCCTGCTAAAACAGTCAGCAGTGAAAACATCAAAATATTGACATAAAAATTAGGTTTCAGTATGAACATCCTAGTTGGGGTAAACAGAGCTGGTTTCTATCTGTGTTGTACCTCTGTGCTGTCCCAGTAAACAAGCAGTAAGCAAAACCAAAAGTGGGAGGGCAAAAAACACTTCTCTAATTCAGTAGCTTTATAACATTTCTCTGCTGCTACTGCAGGCTCTGGACTGAAGGAATGCTGCCGATCTCCTGAACATTCCTGTATAAGAGGTTTATATTCTCGATCCACTAATTGCAGTTCCCCTGGCTACTCCTCCCACAGTCATAACAAAATTTCTTCTATGTGTGATCCCTTTGCATAACCCATTCTCCACTGGAAAGATAAGTACTTTAGTAAGAGCATGGAAATTCAGGGGTGGGATGTAGATTCTCTGTGTGAATTAGAATACCCCTTACCAGTACATTACAGCAGACACCGTTGTAAGCACATGTGTGCATAGGCATGTGTGCATCTGTTGTGTGTGAGTATACATCATTTATATATTAAGGAAAATTCTGAGAAAACTAATAGACCCGTAAAAGGGCACCTTTATGATTTAGGTATAGCAGCCCCATACCACCCTGCACAGAAAACTTTTGCATGTAGTGAAAAGAACTCAAATGCTAGGAGAGTCAATAGATGTGCTTGTATTTGCACAGCCTCTGTTCTGACTCCTCGCGTGGATTCATTGTTAACTGTGTGCACAGTCCATAATTACATGATGGCTCGGTGTTTTTTTCCCACAGGATCCCCGCCTCATTTAGTGCATGGGATGGATGAGAACTAATAGAAAGGGCAGTTGTTCAGCCCTGCTCATTCAGTTTCTGGCCACTCCTTCATTTAGTGCAAATCTTCCCAAGCTTATGCTGCACCCAGAATTATTAGTTTCTCATGGCTTTCATCACAATGATATCTCACATTCCCTTGAATAGGAATGGATTTATCTTGTGAGAGAGGAAAACATTTTATCACCATTTTAATGTATGAAAGGAAGGCACAAACAGAGAACAATTTGTGGCACATATCCATTAATATGGATATAAAACCAAACTACTAAAGCTAGATTAATTTTTTTGTACTTTCCTAGATTAGGACTCCCATTATTTTATCTTCCTGTCATTTGCCTCTGCTCATGGTTAAATACAAAGATAAGAGAGACATCATCTTGTGTTTAAAAAGTATTAGCATGCAAAATTTATACTGTAAATAAACTACAGAATTACAGACTCTCCAAATGTTTCTTGAATTCTGGCAGACTTGGTGCTGTGATGACTTCCCTGGGAAGCTTGCTCCAGTGCTCAACCAACCTCTCTGTGAAGAACCTTTTCCTAACATTTAAATATCCCCTGACTCATCTTTGGGCCATCGTCTTAGGTTCTGTCACTGGTCTCCACAAAGAAGAGATCTGTGCTGCCCCTTTGCTTCCATTCATGAGGAAGCTGTAACTGCAGTGTCGTCTCCCCTCAGTCTCCTCTTGTCCTGGCTGAACAGACCAAGAGATCTCAGCAACTTCTCAGATGGCTTCCCCTCCAGACACTTGACTACCCTCATTGCCCTCCTTTGGACACTCTCTAATGGCTTCATGTCTTTCTTACACTGTGGCACCCCAAGGTGCCCCCAGCACTCGAGGTGAGGCTGCCCCAGTGCAGAGCAGAGCAGGACAATCCCCTCCCTTCCTGGCTGCTGATGCTGTGCCTGATGCCCCCAGGACAGGGTTGGCCCTCCTGGCTGCCAGGGCACTGCTGGCTCATCTTCAACTCACCATTGACCAGGACACCTCTCTGCAGTCCTGCTTTCCAGCACCTCATTCCCAGTTTGTCCATACATTCAGGGTTACCCCATCCCTGGTACAGAATCTTCTCTGCTTAAGAGGGAGCCAACAGCTCCTCCCAGTTTTGTGTCATCTGCAAACTTGTTTAGTATATATCCAGTCCTGTGTCCAAGTCATTTCTGAAGATGTTGAAGAGCACAGGGCTGAGGATGAAGCCCTGTGGAACCCTGCTGGTGGCAGATCACCAAGTCACTAGTGACATGTCTGATCTCACCCGCTGCTGTAACCTGATGTCACCCTAGTCACTGTAACCCTTTGTGCCCCAGCCATGAGCCAACTGCTCACCCATCACAGGATGCGTTTATCTAGCTGTGGGATGGAAATTTTTTCCAGAGGAGTCCTGTGAGAGTATCAAAAGCTTTGCTGAAAAAAGATGATATCAACTGGCTTCTCATGATCAACAAGGTGGTTACCTTGTCATAAAAGAAAATCATATTTGAACTAGGTTTACAGTAATAAAAAGGTGAGTAAATAGGGAATAGTAATTAAAATTTAATGTAAATAATAGATTAGGCTATATTGAGAAACTTAATAAAACGTGGGGATAAATAGAATTTAGTGGTCCACATTATTACACTTTATATCAGCTGCCATGTTGACAGGCAGTTTGTTGGTATGGTTTTGAGTGATGTCTATGGCTCCCACTAGAATTAAACTTTTATGTGTATGTGGCCTGGTATAGCCTGGTCTCAGGGCTGAGACATCTAAACCAGTTCTGAAAGAGCCAACTTATCTATAAGAAGCAATTCACTCAGGATAGCAGCATAACCCTACAAGTCCTCCACCTTCACTGCTTAGCCTGTCTAAGAAATAAGATTTTAATGCAGGTGAAGGGTCATCTTAAGCAATTTCCAGAACTCCAGCCACTTGGGAACAATTTCAGTGCCACTCTGAATAGCCATGATACTGCAGAACACCCTCTAACTCATGTTCTAAACTTGTGCTGAGCAGCAGTGTGGGCCCCCAGTCCCCTGGGTGCAGCAAAGTACAATGATCTCACAATTTTCCTTCTCTGCGTTTCATTCTAGATAGATGATTCCTGAACATACATAGAATTCAGTTAATCATTTGATAAACAATTTTGTAAATAATTTTTATTTGCTTCCTTTGAAACCACTTTGAGAGAAGATTAAAATGTTATTAAATGTGTAAAGTTCATTGCTGGAGGCTTTTTATATTGTGGGTCTTGCTACAAAGAATATGGGACACTGTATCCTTTTTCTTAAATATTTCTTGAATTTAAAATACTCACTACTAGGCAGAAAGTTAGTGTACAAAATGTCAACACAAACATGGATGAAATGCTAATTAGATGATACCAAGGGGTTTAAGAAATATTGTGATTTGCATTACTTCAGTAATATCACAAAATCTTACTGCTCAGGAATCATGAGACAGGCAAAGAAAGGGAAAATTAGCACTGGCTTTTTTCTTCTGCTTTTTTTAACATTTTTTTCTTTGCCCTGATTCCTGATTTTCAAGTTCTTAACAGAAAAAAGCTGCCTGATCCTTCATTTACGTGTGGGGGTGCTTCAGGTAGAAAATGTACACAAAACACAGACCCACAATGTGACGTTCTCATCCATTTTTGCTGCTGACAGAAGGGACACACGGCCAAGCTCCCTCCC